TCAGGAAAATATAACAACCCCAGATGCTTTAAAAACGTTAAAACGTTGCCGGTAGATTATTGTGCTAACAACAAATCCTGGATGACTTCTCAGACCTTTACTGACTATTTAAAGAAATGGGATTGTGAACTTATAAAAGTCAATACTAAAATTTTGCTATTAGTAGATAGTTGCCCTGCTCATCCTCAAGTTCATCTTCACAACATTAAACTACATTTTCTTCCGCCTAATACAACATCGGCTCTTCAGACTATGGATCAAGGCGTCATTAATAGCTTGAAACAATCAGCTACTGATGAAAATTGTGGACCTTCCTGAAGAAGCAAACCCGACAAAAGCTGTGAGTATTTTAGATGCTGTCAATATGTTAAGTGTTGCATGGGAAAGTGTCTCTAAGGAAACCATAAGAAACTGTTTTCGACATGCTGGTCTGGTAAAAGACATTCCTGATGGATTAGATTTCGACCCGGAGGACGATGAACCTTTAAGCAAAATTATCGAAACTAATAATAATAATAATATAATAAGTTTGATGAATATTCAAGGATTGACGAGAATATTATAGCCACAGAAGAACACTCAGACAATGACTTAATTCAAGACTTTCTGTATGAGCTGCTTGAAGAAGAATCCGGTGATGAAAATTTAGCACAGCACGAAACTATAATAGAAATAGAAGACGCTATGAATTATTCTAGGAAACTGAAGCTATATTTTCAACAAAAAGAGAATAGCAATCAATCAACGCAATCAATTTGCTCAATAAACTCGAAACCAAACTACAAAAAGATTTTGCCAATAAGGCATTCACCCAAAAGAAACTCCCTGACTTTTTTCAAAAGACTTAATTAAACTTATTATTTTCTTAATTTTGTATTTTTATTCTTAAACTTTATTGCTTTAATAAAAAAACACATTGAATTTACTTTTTGAGTTAAAAATTTTATATTTTGATTAGATGGACACTCGGTTATGATGGACAATTTGACATGGTCCCGTGGAGTCCATTATAACCGGATTACACTGTGTTTTAATTTTTTCTCTACACTGATATTGCACAGTGTAATTGAATAGCTGAAAGCGCTTAAGAACTTTCCGATTACATATAAACACTCCGTTGAGCATTTTCACTGATGTAAATAGTCATACGTAAGACCGGAAAAGAAATATATACATATGCGATTAAGGATGTGAAACAACAAGTTTTACGAAATTCGCCAAAAAGACGAAACAATTACAACAACAAATCGTTAACAATTGTATTGGCAATGTGAAAAAGTACACGATTTCTGTCTAATCCCCGTTGGCCAGCAGCCATACGAAAGGTTTGAACAGGAAGCTATGAATAAAGCTCTGAATAAATTTATATGTGTTTGTAGTTAATGTTTGGCAACTTACAACCTCCCTATGTTCGCGTTTTCATTTCTATGTGTGTGCGTTTCAGTGTTTGCATTTGTGTATTTGCCTTTGAAATATATTGAAAGGGAAGCGAAATTATGCTATGACAATAAAGTAGCAAATGAATGCCTTAAACAAAAACATATGCAACAACAACAACGTATCGCATCAGACTAGGCGAAGTAGTTTCCCTTGTTGTTGCTATTCCTTTGTACTTTGCATTTGTTGCGTGTGTAGGCAATAGAAATGAAAACAAAATTAAACTCGATCATTTGACAAAGCACAGCTGGCGTACGCAAACTGTAATTTACTTTTAGCATGCACTGTACGCACACTTCTCATGTTTACATTGAGTTTTATTGAATGTTTGCCTGACTCGAATTTTAAGTGGCGTCTCATGACAGCGCGGATTTTATTACCTGCCGCACAAATAAACTAATTAAAACAAAGCGATTGGAGGGGGAGAGAGTGAGTTGCAGCGTCATAAAAGCGATTGAGACTAAAGAATGCAGGAAATTCGAAAATCAACACTGAAATGCGGCTGTACCGCAGCTATAATACCCTTCACAATTAAAAAGTTGTCATACGAGAAATTTGAAAATTTTGACCGATCTGTATATAAGGCAGCTATGTAAAATAATGGTTCGATCTCAATAATTTTTTCGGAGGTAGCATCGGTACTTTAAACAATAATGAAAAATTGCAAAATTCGTGAAGATATCTCTTCAAATAAAAAAGGGTTTCTTTACAAAGACTTGAATTTCATGGTGTAGTTTATATGCCGGCTATAAGTTATAGCCGTCCAATATAAACAATATATTCGCAGATTGTAACGGTGCTTTAGATAATATTCTGTGATGAATTTCGTGCAGATTCTTTGTCTAATTAAAAAGTTTTCCGTAAAAGGACTTGAGCTTGACTCTGCAGTTTGTATGGCAGCTATATGCTATAGTGGTCCGATATCGGCGGTTCCGGCAAATAGGCAGCCTCTTGAGTAGAAAATGATGTGTGCAAGATTTCAGAACGATATTTCAGACAGACAGACTCGTAGACACATGGCCAAGGTTAAAGCGGCGCAGCTCGTCATGCTAAATATTTTTTAAAGGGGTCCCTCTGGTGATTAGAAGCCTCGTAGCAAACTTAACATACCCTTCTTAGGGTACAACAAAGCAATTGCAGGGTAGGAGCAGCGAAGCGAAACCGTTTGAGCCTAATGAGAGCAATAAATTGGAAATTCAATACTGAAATAATTATTGGCGTCTGCTGTGAAAGCCCCTACATCACTATTTGCCGGTGTGTTGAAATGTTTGTGCATTAATTTAATTGTCTGCCTCTTCCTTTAAAATGAATCGACTCACCGCTTAGAATATTAAACACAAACAAATTGTCAGACCACAAAAAGCAATTAAAATTCTTTCAATAATCAAAATTCCACACAAATCGCTTGTTAGCCAACGACACCTGTGTATTTTTAATTTAATCTCACTAAGTACTTTAAGAGCACGAGCACTTTAGTCTGCTCTTAGTTAACACTCTTTATGTCATTTTAGTTTTCACCTCATTTACTCAATTAAAATTGTGCAGCAATGAATTGGCAGGGGAAGAAGAAGAATAAAAGTGCAAAGAAAGAAATCAACTCGTTGCTCTCTCTACGTATTGCTGTCATAAAACTGGTTGCCAGCAAATATTGTGGGTATTGGTGTGTGCTCAACTCTTACAATGTTACTCATACGCCCCGGTGCGCGCTGTGTAAATGTTGTGGCCACACTTTTGACTCTTAAGTGGAAATTGCTAATTAAACGGCAGCAACGTGTATGTGGGTGACTCATGCGGGAAACGTGGCTGTGGAAAATGAAGCAGAAATTATTTAGAGCAATAATTAGCGAAGCAAAGTGAAATGAGGGTGAAATTTTGTACGTGAAGGGGGAAGATGTGTGAAAAGTGACAGTGAAAAATATAAAAGTGTAGTGAGTTGGAAAGCACATGGGGCACTAATTTTTATTAAGCAGTAAATGTTGCTTTGTGCCACTGTACAAGTGCTACTTTATAAATCGGTTGAAACTTTGAGGGGCGACTATGGAAAATTGCTTGTGCTGCAAAGGTGCGGAGATGGTCTCGATTTTGTTATATTTTTAAAGTGTATTATAAAAAAAAAAAAAAAAAAAAAAAATTAAATTACTTTAAATTAATTTTGAAATGTTTGGTAGCATCTGTTGTAGCTTTACATGAATAATACTGTGACTAAGAAAACTAAACGGAAAATAAATATTAACTTGGACTTCACCGAAGCTATAATATCCTTCCAAATGCAAAACACCTTACAATAGTTGGATTTTGGTCGATCAGTTTGTATGACAGATACATTCTATTGTGATTCGATCTGAATAAAATTACACTGTTACTTTCGAGAATAATCCATGCCAAATTTCGTGAAGATATCTCGTCATATAAAAATGTTTTCTATACAAGAACTGGATTTTGATCGTTTAGTTTATATGGCAGCCGTATGCTCTCCTCGTCCGATATCGATGGTTCCGACAAATTAATAGCTTCTTGGTGAGAAAAAGATTTATGTAAAATTGCTGGAAGATATTTCAAAAACTGAGTTCGGGGACTGACATGTCTCGGATCGTCATGCTGCTCTTTTATATAAGATCGCCGTTGTCAGTGCACATAGGTCCAAAAGTCTTCGACTCATTGTCCATATATCCGCTCCACATAGCACGAAGGGTAATTTGATATTTGTTCGTTGAGGGAGGACTTTACTTCTTTGCCTACTCAGTCCAAACGAGCTGCGTTGGATTTCAATGCTGATATTGTGATTAGTGTTGTTGCTGGTTCTAAGACGTAAGAAATATACATAAGAAGATATATATTGATATTAGACAGCAGTAGTCAAGCCAATCTGGCTTTACGGTATCTCGGTGTGGTGGACCGCTGATGCTGCGAACTCAACCTATCACCAATTGTCGTTGAAGTAGAAAGCTTTGTATCAAAATAGGTTGTAAGATTGATAAGATTGACGTTAGATGTATTTTTCTCAGGAACCTTCAGATTTAGTTCACATTTTATCTGGATCTGAAGATATTGTTTACATCGGATCACTGCAGCTTATAGCTGCCATATAAGCTGACCCATCAAAATCAAGAAAACGATCTTTTATACCCTTCTTAGCTATGCGCAATGGTATTATGACGGCTTCAGGGCCTGATAAAAAAATTCGAAACATATAGTAGATAGAAACAGTTCCAAATTAGAAAGTCTAAAAGTGATACGAGTGCAAAATGCAATTTATCTTTGCATTTATGTACATCTATCACTAACTGGACGTATTTCATCACAATGCAAGGTTCGAACACAATTTTCAACACAAAGTGGTGTAGCATACTTTCAGGCCAATGGATATTACCGAATTTGTCCTTCAATTAGAAACAGCTGGCCGACAACATGACAGCTGCAACCTCAAATCAGATTCTCCTGCTCAATTGAAACAATGTTTGCTTACTGCAGCAAGCTCACACAAACTCACACACATGCATTCGCATGCACACAAAGATGCGTCACTAAGTTTAAATCGTCTAACTATGGCTACGGGCACTTACTTGTTATAAATGAAAGCACAAGGAACATATCCAACGCCACTTGAAACCACTTCATCTCATTTCCCTCTGCGCTTTGTGGCTGCCTGGGTGCTCCTTGTGCTGCTGCTGTTGCGGCTTCGTGATTGCGGCCCACTTTGCAACGCCCGCTACTGCTACTGCTGCTGATATGGCTCTTACGGCTACGTGTATTTCTACGGCTACTCCACAGCAGCGCACTGTTGCTGCCACTGCGCCTTTGTGCCGCCTTATGCAAGGCACAGTTGTGTGAGCTGTTGTTGCAACAAGCGATGGGTGTAGAATGTTCGGTGCGGCAGGCAGGCACTTGCTGACCTAGCCAACAACAATGCGGAAGTTGTTTGCGTGCTACACTCTTAGCAATGTTGGTATTGTTGTTGTTGTATTTACTATTGTTTTTGCAATTGTGACGCACTACCCGTTCGTATGCTTGTTGTAAATTGTTGTTGTCGGCGCAACTTTAAGTCGTGCTGTTTCCTTGTTGTTAATGTTGCCGTTGTTGCGGTCGTTGGCAGTCGTAATTGCCGTTGCTTTTGCTATTACTAATGCTGTGTCTGCGGCGTTGTTGTGCTGTTGCCACCGGCTTGCAGTTGACGGCTGCTTCAATTCAAACTTCTTCGGCCTTTGTTGTTGTCGGCTGTCGGCTGTCGGCTGGCCCGTTGTCTGCCGGATTGTTATCTGCGGCAGCAAATGTGTCTGTTGTTGCTAGTGTGGCGTTTGTTGTTTTTGCTTGTGCCGCAAAAGCTTTTGCTATGCTGCCGGTGCTTGTTTCGTTTGCTACGCTTGCGACTTTGTTTGCCGCGTGTATGTTGCAATGTTGCAAGTATGTGTTCTCCTATGCGCCACTTGTGCGGTGTTGCCACCGAATTGTGTGTGGCTATTGGCGGTGAGCGCAGGCTACTTAACACTTTAGCTCCTCTGGCGTTTTTTGCAATGTTTATTGTTGTTGTTGTTGTTGCATGCGCGGATTTATGCATTTGTATGTGAAATTATTGGCGTTTAAGGATGTGTGTGTGCGTGGGAAATGTTGATATAACAGTAATTATTTTGTAACGGTATTACCTTTTGTCAATCTGTCATTTATTTACTCCCTCGTACCGCTGGCGCTGTTAAGGAGTTGACAATTGTTTATACGTCTTCGCTACTACAACTACTTAATGGTGTTGTTTTTATTGTTATTGTTGCTACTTTATATAATTATTTGCTTGCAGTGTTGGTTGCAGTTGCTTTTGTGGCATTCTTAAGTTCTCCGGAGGATTAAGTGGCAGCACAGTTACACATACATACACACACATCTACATTCACATAGAGTTAACTGATTATCTTAACAGATTGTTATCTTCTACTTAGTTATATATGTAGGTATAACATTTTTGTAGCAATTTTGCTTATGCTTCTTGGTTTTACCGATATTATTTTGTTTTTTTATGTCAGCATTTGTGCGGTTTTACGCTCGTTTAACTAATTAAAGAAATTCGCAATTTATTCTTGTTGGCAGTTTGCGTTGAATTTGTTGTTGTTGCGATTGTTGTTGTTGCTTACACGGCTTCAATCTGCAATGAAAAACGAGAAAAGACCATTAATTGGTGACATACGCTCGATGATGAAGAAAAGTCTATATGCTAATGGGATAATTTTTGTATAGTATAACAGGTAAGGAAATGCTTCGGTTGTAACCTAACATTTATGCTCTAACAAGTCTCAAAAGCGGGGAAGTACATTACTACGAAATGTTGTTAAAGAGTTCAGCATTAATTTTTTGACAAAAACGTAAATAAATTGCAATCATATTAGACATATTATTTACTAATATTATTTATTGGTCATAGACTCACTTAAATAGTGTCATTACTATACTTCATTTCATATCCCACTTATTAGTAATACGCCAGTTGACTTATATAAGAAATAACATATAAAAAAATATCGCCAATTTTGTAAATTAAAAGAAAGTATTTATTTATTCATGAATATAATATTTTGTCCTCTTCAAAGTACTAACCCCCCGATAAATTGCACAATTGCCATCGTTTTTGCCAATCTTCAAATCGCTTAAGGTAGTAATCTGGTAACTTGGGTTAAAAAAATCGAAATTTTTTTGCTGAATTTGAAAGTATAATGTCGTGGGAATATACTGTGAAAATTTCAGACAGAAATTCTAAATATTTCGGGAGTTGTAACGAGTTTCCTAGAGTGCTATTCTACAAACTTATATTTCTCGTCGGAACTAACTACATTTTCTTTCATCCCTAACTTTTTATTTTACAACCCTTTCTTTGATCAAAAAAAAGTACTTTTTTTCAAAGTCCGCCATTTTGTAATTTACCTTTGAAATTTAACTCCAGTCTGGTCGCAACTACATGTCTTTAGAGTAAGATCAATCAAGAATTTTTGATTATCAAGAGCCAAAATCACACGGGCCTCTCACGTGCATTTTTTTTTTTGAGGTTCCAACTTTGAGTGACAATAATAAGAGTAACAACGTATGATATTTTTTCAAATATATATATATTTTTTTCAATATGTGAATAAAAACACTTTAAATATTCAAGATAATTTATTTTTATTTTCCTATAAAAAACTACCCTACAAAGAAGTCATGAAAATACGCATAAGTTACCAGACCTTAAAAACAATTTTTTTACCTTAAAAAACAATTTTTTGTGATCTTGTTTAGCTCCTTCTTTAATGCAGTTTTTATCTCTTCATTCGAAGCGTAGACCTTTTTCGTTTACACACACACATTCGACCTAACTTAGCGCGTTTCTTCGGCCTTAACAAACACGCAGCAGCTTCCATTGAGATGATTTTGTTTGGGTAGCAACGGACTAAGTCCATTATCTCCTGAGCAATCTTAAGGCAACGCGGCCTTTTCAAAAATGTTTAATTGTGGTACAAAAATCAAAAACGAATCAAGAACTCTCCTAGTAAAACCGTTGGCAAAAATTAGCTAAACATTTCAAATGCGAAAAATTGGTCAGCATAAGTAAGGGTATGATTACCAACATAATGCAACAAAATAAAAGAAAATCGAATAAAGGTCGGCCATAATTATCGGGCTGATATCACACATCTTCAGTTTTAAACTTATTTTGATCTTATAGGGAAAGGTATTGGCAGCGAGCTAACGGTATGCGTCATGTCAAGTTGCTAGTTGGGTGGTATAACCAAAAAAGATTTAAATCGTTAATCAACCTCCCAAGAAACAAACTCAGGATCCTGGTTGCATTCTATACCGGCCAATGCAAGCTGAAAAGGCACTTAACCAACATGGGCCTATCATCTTGCGCCAACTATCGGTTTTGCGACAGGGACCCTGAAATCACGGAGCACCTGCTAATCGACTGCATTGCAGTCTGTAGGCGCASGTCGAAGGCCCTTGGAGCCATGTTTCCGGATAGGGATCACATCGCCTCGCTAGCACCCAGCAAAATACTGAACTTCGTCAATATGCTGGGGCTAAGCGAGTCCCTGTGAGTTAGGAGAGGGCGCAATAGACCTAAGGTCGCAGTGCAGTCCTCAGTTATTTTTCTATCTATCTATAGCCGTCTCGCACAGCAGAATTAAGCTAATACATTAAGGTTATAATTGAGAAACCATTTTTCGCTTTTTGATCAGCCGTCTACGGGATCAACAATCAGTCGTTATACTTGCTTGTGTTCTTTATTTTGTATTTCTTCTATCAAAGAACACAACCAAATTTTTAGCCTAGATAAATGTTGAAAATAAAATTTGTATTTTGATTAATAAATCGGTCTACATTACTGTTTTAAATGAGTCAAGCCCCTTTAATCGATCAATTAGCCCCTGTGCAAAGGCTACTACATATTGTAGGATTGAAAGTTTTTATATTATTTGTTCTGAAAATATTTATCTCGAGTAAGTTTGGTTGAAATAGCTTTAGAGGCTTGTGAGATGTATGCATTAAATTTATTATTTCAACTTTCGTAAAATTTTTCAAACCTCAGATGTCTCTTCCTAGTGAGACTCCTTGTATGAAAATATAGATTAATATCTTGGAATTTGTGGAAGGGACAGTGGCTCGATTCCATTTATCTCTTCTTATGGTGCCAAGGTGTACAATCTTTCGTTAGGATATCTTCATTTTTACTCAAGTTTACTATTGCAGGTACGGACGTATTACTATCTAGGTCATCAGGAATTCAGCTCTTGTCGTCATTCTGATCATTTAAATCACTATATATCTACACAACTATTATGCCCTGGTGTTATCTGAACTAAATTGTTATATGGGATCTTAATAACGAACCCAAACTGAAAAACTTTTCGTGTTATATATTTAGAAATTCTCGGAAAAATAATATATTCTATAAGAAAATACGTACGATTTCAATATCGGTGACTTCATTAAAAAGAGGTCTAAAACTTTTATACCAGAAAATGTAATATAATATACATAATCAAATTAGATCTGCTTTACTCTTAGTCTGAAAATTAAGAGTACAACATTGATTCATATGTGTATTGATTGAAAATATTGATAATGAAAATACCGTTCCAATCACCTGTACATATGTTTCTACACATATTTTGTGAGTAAATCACGAACGTGTAAAATTACGAAATTTCGCGAAGTAACGGTGAAAGCGTGACGCAAGCGTAATCCGATTCCAATACCACACAAACGTCACAGACATAGAGAAGTTGTAATCGTGTGATAACACCACAGCAACGCGCGCCACGCGGTCACATGATACATACATAAACGCACACAGTTACAGCAATTAACTTGCGTGCCACGCACTTCCTGCTGCTGATGTCTGCGCAAGGATAACAATTACCCATCATCTGTGGAGGTAAGGACCATATCATTGAGGGTGGTAAAAGCACGAGTAATAAGGGGTTAGGAAAACGATGACACGCCCGACACGCACAACAATTTACAATTTTAATTTGCGCTGCAATTAATCATCGATAACTGATGGTGTTCGCATGACCATCTGATGTTGTATAGGGTATGGAAAAGGGTTGTATGAAATATTAAATGAACGATTCTTAAAGTAGCAAGCTTCTCAATAGTTCCACCATAGCATACAATATTACATACATACATATATATTTTGAGTGAGATGGTAGAAGTTTAAAATGTTCAGCAGAAGGATCAAGGTTTCGAATATTAATGCCTAAAATTTAAGATATAAAGTTCTGTCGCTCTGTTAATTAATTTTATACTGACATCGACAGTTATTAAGGAACAGCTTAAATTGTATACACAAAAAAGTAAAATATGTCCAGGTGCCGGGCTAAACCTTATTTGAGTCGGTCATCATACTTTTTGGATATATATGGGCTAATTTTCCATTGTTCGAAATTTCATACTTTTACTCATACTGAATCCATTCTTTCTGATTTATGACGATTCGGATAGATCGTGAAGCTCATAAAAGCCATAAAATTACATAGCTATGTCTAAGATAAAATAAAGTAGTGGTTGAATAGTGAACCTGAAATTTCAAGGATTTCTACAAAACTATGTAAAGAGAAGAATAAAAAATAGAAGGACTGCCCATAAAGTATTTATAATTTCACCTTCCGTTTTTGAGTTTTTCTTCTTACCTGGCGCAGACATCGCTTACCCCGATATAGCCGTGTTAACAACAGCACATCAGTCGTTTCTTCTTTTCGCAATGTGGCGTCAATTGCAGATTCCAAGCAAAGCTAGGTCCCTTTCCACCTGGTCGTTCCAACAAAGTGGAAGTCTTCTTCATCCTCTGCGGCCCCCGCCGGGTACTGCGACGAATACGTTGAAAGCTGGAGTGTTTTCATCCATTCCAGTGTAGCCGCTGACTTTTAATTCGCTGAACTATGTCAATGTCGTCATATATTATATATCATACAGCTCATCGTTGCATCCAATGCGGTATTCACCGTGGGTAATGCGCTTAGGACCATAAGTCCTTCGCAGAACTTTTCTCTCGAAAACTCGCAACGTTGATTCATCAGTTGTTGTCATCGTCCAGGTCTCTGAACTATATATCAGGACGGGAATTATTAGTTATTATAGAGTTTGGTTATTGTCCGTCGAGAGAGGATTTTGCTTCTTAATCCGAAGTAGCACCTGTTGGCAAGAGTTATCCTGCGTTGGATTTCTAGGCTGACATTGTTGGTGGTGTTTACGCTGGTTCTAAGATAGACGAAATTATCTACAACTTCAAAGTTATGACTGTCAACAGTGACGTGAGTGCCAAGTCGCGAGTGCGACGACTGTTTGTTTGATGGAATGGGATATTTCATCTTGCCCTTGTTCACTGGTATTTGCTTTCCTTTCTTGTGCAGTCTAGAGAAAGTAGACTAGTGTTGAA